TAATGAATAAATAGAAAAACCAGAACAATGAATTGTTATTGATTTTTATTACAAGTTCGCGAAAGACGGAAAAGAAAAGTTAAGAAAAACAGAGAGTTTTCTTCAAAGCTAAAAGAACTTTATATAATACTGTAACGATGCACCCCCCGATGCACCGTTCCCGGCATTCCACCCGCCGGATGCCGCCCGACCGAACACCCGTCGGGCGAGACGCAGGCGCATAGCGCCTCATAAGATCGCGATACACCGGCGCGCCGGCCCGCTCGGCCAGGGCCACGAACGGCCCCGGAGACCGCCGAGCGGGCCCGAGCGCGCGTCGCGGCCGCGAGCCAGACGTGCCGATCAGCTGGGGCCACGAACGGCCCCGGAGATCGACGACCAGGCCCGAGCGAGCGACGCAGGCCATGCGCAAGCGGCGCGCGCCGCTACGCACGCGCAGCCCGAGCGGGCTAATTAAGCGTAACGATTAGCCCCTATAAAAAGGGGAAACCGAGCGCTAAAAAGCACTCCTTTGGAGACGAGCTTCCGAGCAACAGCCGCTCATCCGCAAGTCTCAAAACTGACTCCTGTCGCACGCTAAGCAGTGGGAAACCCGCGTTGGAGAGTACTCCGGCACGGTCGAGTTTTCTCGGCACTGCGCACGCGTGCTTACCTGCACACCGTACCCGGACACACACGGGGTGGAGCGCTCTCCGCCTCGACCGAGAATTCTCGGGCCCGGGTACAGCACCTGACCGTAGATCGGCCGACGGCTCACAGGGACCAGGGAAGTGGAGTGTACTCCGCTTCCGCCGAGTTTTCTCGGCACCCACCGCAGCCAGCCGATTCCCGTCTAGGCACCGCGCCACCCGCGACCGATCCCCGCGCCGCGAACCGTCATCGATATTCATCGCCATCACATTGCGCGTTCATCACTTCGCACATTTCGTTGTACATAACGTCATCTCATCCCGCGCCGCATCCATCCGTCCGTCCGTCCGCGATCGCGTCATTAGAAATTGTACATAACATCATCTCATCCCGCGCCGCATCCGTCCATCCGTCCGTCCGCGACCACTTATTAGAGATAAGTGTACAAAGTGTATCCACGTTCTCTTTGAGTAAATATAGTTTTTGTGTCTTTATTTCACCGTAAGTCAGTCTTCGAGTGCTTTCACCTAATCCCTCGAACCCTGCCACCGGCGAGCACAGTCCGCGGGGAACGCGATTAGGCAATCGTTTCATGGCGCCCGAACAGGGACCGTAGTCCGGCAGAAACAGAAGGCACTCGAAAAAAAAATGTGTTAGATATAGAGACTCGATACGATGAAGGCGTGGAAATACGAGCTACGTAAAGAGGAGCTCATCGTAGAGCTCGAGACGATAGGGCTAGACTCGGACGGCACGCTGGACGAACTCCGGAAACGAATGACCGCGTACGTAGAAAAGCACCCGGACATGTACCGGAAAAGCGCTGTCGCGGGGAAGAGCACCTACCCCGACCCTAACCCGCCCGAAAAACCGGAAGGGACCGCCGGGACCGACGCACAACCGACCGGGGAAGGGGAGACGGTAGAGAAAGTAGAGGCACACGCGAAAATCATGGGCCAAATCCGGAAGTGGGGGTGTCATTTCGACGGCCGAGACCCGATCGCGTTTCTGGAAAGGGTAGACGAGTTAAAAACCGGGTACGGATTCACCGACGACCAGATCCTCCGCGGTTTATCCGAACTCGTGAAAGGGGACGCGTTATTGTGGTACCGGAACAACCGCGACCAGTGGAAAAAGTGGGCCGACTTCGAGCAGGATTTCCGGGAGTATTTCCTACCGCGACGTTACCGGGCGCAACTAGTGCGGGAAATACAAGCGCGACTCCAGAAACCCGGGGAAATCTACCGCAAATTCGCAACGGAACTAACCACGATGATGCGCCGCGCGGGGGGGTACACGGCGGAGGATCAACTAGAAACGTTGTACGAGAACATGCACCCACAGTACAAAATGTACGTACAACGCGAGACAGTCCGTCGCCCCGCGGAATTATTACGAAAAGCCGGGGAATTCGAGGCCATCGAGGAACAGTGCCGCGTCCGACAAGAGCCCGCGAGACCAAACATCGTCGCGGCAACCGCGCCGTACGACCGAAACGAGTGCTGCTGGCGGTGCAAACAGCGCGGGCATACGCGATTTGACTTCCGACGGATACCGCGGAAGTTCTGTTCGCGCTGTGGCCGAGATGGAGTCCTGACCAAGGACTGCCACCCGCCATCGGGAAACGCGGGCGAGGCCGGAGACGAATAGAGAACACTCCGGCCGAGACAATCATCTTCAAACCACGACCGCACGTAACCGTAAAAATCGGCGACCGGGAATTCGACGCCCTGCTTGACACCGGGTCCGAGGCCTCGTTTATAAACGCCGAAACAGCGATAGCGTTCCAGGAGCTAGGCAACCCCGCGAGGGATTGCAACGGGATGTGTTACCTCGCCGACGGCTCGGGTACCACCATCAGGCAACGGATAACGGCCACAATCCAAGTATGGGACCACGAAATAAGGCACATGTTCAAAGTAATGACAGGCCTAGATAACCAGATCCTGATCGGGGTAGATTTATGGGCCCGATTACGCCGCAGTATCCCGCCACCACCGATCGTAAGAAAGAAACGGCGACGAACGACAACGCACGCCAACGAGGTGCACGAAGCAAATCACCTGCTACCCGAAGAAAGAGAACGAATGGCAACATTCCTAGAAAACGAACTGGCATTATTCGAAGAGGTACGGGGCCCGACCACCATGATTGAGCACGAGATACGCGTCAAGCCAGGGACACGACCGGTAAAACAAAGGTACCGACCAAGAAATCCAGCGATGCAAGCGGTCATTGACGAGCAAGTGCAACAGATGGAGGAAAACGGGGTAATAGAACCGAGCCGAAGCGCATGGAGCTCGCCGGTCGTGATCATGAAAAAGAAGGATGGACGACCCAGATTTTGCATCGACTTCCGGCGAGTTAACGATGCAACCGAACCTGACGCCTATCCGTTACCGCAAATTACCGCCACACTAGACAAGCTGCGCGGCGCCCAGTATCTGTCCACCCTGGATCTCAAGGACGGATACTGGCAAATACCGCTAGCACCAGGAAGCCGCCAGATCACCGCATTCACGGTACCGGGGAAGGGCCTCATGCAGTTTAAGGTAATGCCGTTTGGCCTACATTCAGCCCCGGCCACGTTTCAACGGCTACTGGACACAATACTCGGACCGGAACTGGAGCCACGAGTGTTCTTGTACCTGGACGACATTATCATTTGTACACGGACCTTCGACGAACACCTCGAAACGTTACGCGAAGTATTCCGCCGACTGAGGGAAGCGCGATTACGCCTGAACGCGGCGAAATGCCACTTCGGCGTAGAAAGCCTAAAATATCTCGGCCACATCGTGGACAGAAACGGCATCCGCACCGACCCGGAAAAGATACGCGCGATTACCGATTGGCCCGCACCGTGAACCGTACAACAAGTCCGGCAATTCCTCGGGATCGCGTCGTGGTACCGCCGGTTCGTGGAAAACTTCGCAGCGCGAGCCGCACCGCTAACAGCACTCACGAAAAAGGGGGCGAAATGGGCGTGGGGAACGACCGAGCAGAACGCGTTCGACGACCTGAAAGACACCCTCACGTCCGCGCGATGTTAGGGCCGATCCTGTGGGACGTCGCATATGACAGGGTGCTAGACGCAGCCCTTCCCA